AAAGGGAAAGGGAGAATTCACAATAGGCTTTCTAACCTGCTATTGACTGAGAGCCAAACCTGACACGTCGTCAAGAGCTGAGACCAAGTTAAAGACTGGGCAGCAAGAGGGGGCGTGTCAAGTTTGACTACTTGGTCTCAAGAGCAGGCATCCAATGAAAACCCATCTGTGAATTCTCCATCTCCCGTACTGGAGAAAGGCTTGGTATAACCTGCATGAGTTGGGGGAGGGGTTGCTGAAATGCAGCACAAGCTTAGGAAAGCCAGTGAAAGAATACACTGTGGCTAAGCCGCTTTATAGCACACCACTACTCTGGGGCTGCAAAAAGTCCAAGCAACAGCACAAAGCCCAGCCACACTCCTGTCCAGCAGCTCACTTCCACTAAGTCATTGTGCCCTGGGAAGTCCTAGCTATCCCAGCTCAGTCCCAACCACAGTCCTATTCACATCCCTGTACTTCAAGGACCTTACCACTGCTGCCTCCTGCTAACCTTTCCATCTTCTTCTCGCTCCTGGCTCACAATTCAAGCACTGGTAAATATGGCAGCCATGATCAATGGGCTTCTGGAAAGCCTCACTTTCCAGTGAGTGCATTTCCAGGGGCAAAAATTTGTAGAGACGTTTCCATTGGCAAGACTTTGCAGGACGTGAATCCAAGAGCAAGCCTTTCCATTATCCTACACCTCAGAGCTGCACCCTCACTCAGTGCCTGGATCCTGGGCCAGCAGAAGGAAGAAGACAGTAAAGGGTAGCTACAGGCAGCAGGTGGCAGTGGCAGCAGAGATATGTAGTGAAGTGCAAGGCACTTCAAAAAGCAAAAATAGAGGGAAGATTGGCACATGGGGGAGAGTTAAAGCACCTCTGCAGTTGTAACTGTGTGGGCTGCCAAGCACCCAAATTTTAATCACATGCTCATGGGGGCCATAACTTTAGGAACAAGTCATATGTTCATTTTTTTAGTGCCATTGTAACTTTGAACTGTCGCTGAAAGGCGTAAAGGCTACCTGTGCTCAATATTCAGTAAACATGCACAAGATTGCAATTCCAAACTTTAAGCAACCTTGCATGTCAAAAATTTAACTATATTGATTGGCACAAGCAATAATTAGTATCAATGGATAAGATATGGATTCTTTTTAAACAAAGCAAATCATGAAATGTGATTTTTCCTCTAATATTATTTTTCTTGTTACAAATACTCCTAAATCTATTACCTAACACCTGATTTCCTTCATAGCAAATGATTCCCTCATTTATGCATTGGTTTAAGAATCTAGTACTAGGCACCTATGCAATATAACCAAAGCTTGATGGAAGTTTGCTAAATTGAAACATTATTTTCATGCTTTTAAAATTAAATCATTAGGAAATAAAATGGCATGTGTACTGCATTAACTGCATTAACACTGGATTTCCTATCAGTTAAATTTATACTGTTCCTCCTGAGATTAAGGAATATTTACTGTTACAAATTCATACTTAAAACTTACTTTAGAAGTTTTGAAAAGATGGAAACAATCCTTGGCTCCTGATCTCTTCTCCCATTCCTCGATCATCCTCTTTTAAGCACGAAAATAAGTTTGTTCAATACAAGGAGTGGGAAGATAGAGGATTTTATACAATTAGAGGTTTGATTATTAATGGAAAGCCCATTAATGCTGAATATATTCAGCAAAAGGAACGATCACAAATGCTGTTCCAAATAAGACATATTCAGTCACTCCTTTATAAGTACTATTATAACTATTGATAACTTAGAATAACTGTACACACCTGCTTCATTTAACATCAAGAGAAACTCTTCAATATTGTATAAAACTTATACATTAGTGTAGCATGTTCTCTTGAAGTTTGAAAAATGTCTGAAAAATATGGGATGTGGACTTGTCACTAAAACATTCTGTGGCACAGAACGTCATTTAAATCTATCTCAATAAGTTATCAAAAACTCCCCAACGAAGATAATCCACAGGTGATGCTACATTCAGCCAAAGATACACTATACTATTATACATTTACTAGGTGGGGTTGATTGACTTGATGGCAATGGCCAACTAGTTATTTCTTTTCTTTTGGCTAAGACTTTTTGAAGTTGCTCTATAAATCACTCAAAACTTTTAACCACTGTATTTGTTTTTTGTGTACCATCCATTTTTCTAAATCATAATACTGATAAAAACATAATCGATTCAATTACTCTTATTAGTTGCCCGGTTTCTTATTTCAAATATTGGAAAACTGAGAATTGGATCAATGGATTTTAAAATAGAGGAAATTGCTTTNAAACTTTAACATCATATAGAAATGTATGCATGACTAGACATACATCTTCCAAATTTCTTTTTGCACTGTTTTAATTCTTATGTTTTATTTTTTGACACTGGTTTAATTAAAAAAATGTATACAAAATGTAAGTGTACTTTTCTTTTATACATTCAATGGCATATTATCTCCACTCAAAGTCACCTGAACCGCGAGATGGATGGCAAATAAATTTGATGACTAAATAAAATTTTAACCTTTCTCCAAGGAATTTTATGATAGCGTACAATGATCATGTTCATACATGTATGATTGAAAGCCCCACTTCACCCAATACTACTTTATACTTTCAGGTAGCATGTATTTGAAGTCAGAACTTTTTTACAGAATCTTCATAAAATGCATATTGGTATAAAAATTTTGTGAATAATTTTTATAACACAGAAGAATAATTAACCACCAATGGGAAAACCCCCAGCATACAAGGCCAACCCATCCAGTTTGCAATGTTCTGAATGATATCCCTCCCCAATATCTGCATACCCATATCCATATTTCTATCTTTTATCTAGCTTATTTTACCAATCCTTTGCCTATGGTCCATCTTTTCTCTGCAAAGGAAAATAGTGGGACAAACCTGTCATTTTCACCCCACATAGGAAGGATGAATCAGGAGTTGTCTGTTGCATCCCACAAATAGGAATCATGTTAGACTGCTCCTGCATACTTTATCCATATTCTATTCCTCCTGAAGAGGAAGAAGTGAGGCCGAAATGAAAAGCCTCAGCCAGGACCTGCAGACATGTTTCCCAGTCAGAGAATGCAGATAGTACTTCTTGTTTTCCTCAATATGTTTCTCCCATATAAGGGAGAAAGATGAAGCATAGTGAAATTATGAAATTAGAAGATGCCATATTATGATCTAATGTTGAGGTTGTTTTAGCAACATTAGCATTTCTTTATTTTTTCTAATTATTTGGGGGGGAAAGCGAATGAAAAACAAATATATTACAAATATAGTGCATTTTATTTTTCTCATTTTCAACTGTTTTACTATAAGGAATTTTGACTATAAACAATCCTGTAATATGTATTTTAAATACTAATCATATTGCAAAAGTTCATGATAGCAAATAAAAACAAATGAAACTGAATTACATCTAACATACATGTAATTTAGCATGTAACTCTTATGATTCCTCTCTTAAACTAAGGTCATGCAATATACTAACCAAGATCTCTAGTTTATCACAAAATCATGATTTTCAATCTTTACTATGAAACGTACAAATTAATTTAAGTAATAAATATGCTGGAAAACAGGCCTGTTAACTACTTTGTAATGCTTTGATTTGATATAAATCATTTGGGGGGAGTATTTATTAACACAGAGCAAGAATAAAAGTAAGCATTGATTGTCAGAATTTTTATATAGCCATAGCTAAAAGCAGTATATAATCCACAAGCAGATTTATTGCTGAATACTTCCAATACTTTTCTTGTTTTCAAAATATCAAGCTGCCATTTTAATATACTTTTATAAATGATATGCCACTTTAGTAACTTTAAATGTCTTTGGAGATAAGTGTTAAAAAAGCTTTTAGTTAATATACAAACATATAGAATATATACTAGCATTATTAAGTGAAGAAATAGGGTTACTGCAGCCTGCAGCCAACAAATGGAGGATTACATATTAAATGCTTCTGTAACTATTAAATGATAATAGACCACATCCAATGAACTAATTCTGCATTTGCAGAGAAGTTGAAGGGCTTTTAGAACTGGTATATTATGCTTATAGTCCAGAATGGAATAGTTATCTTTATACCTTTGATCTGGTACATGAATAAATTCATAGACCATTATTTTTTAAATGGCTCATATTTCAAAAAACTTTCATGAAATCTTCTTGTATGATTTCAATCACTATTTTTTAAATAATTATGTTCTATTTAATTTTGGAGTCTCACAGAACCAGATACCATTTGAATGTGTCATCAGTGTGACATTGCTGTGTTCCATGATAACTAATATGTGGCACACATCAACATCATGTTTAAAACAACAGGTTCTACCACTTATGGTATATTCTGATCATTATATTTTTAAAAAAAGATTCAAACAAACTAGACAAATTTTAAAGTATGGCAACAACTATGATCAAGGAACTGAAATTTAAATCTTAAGACTGAAGAAATTAGAGATGCTTTTGACTTCACACAGGAAAAGATCAAAACTTGTTTTTACCTCCCAGAAGGTATGACACAGAATAATGGTTTTAAGTTACAGGTACCCAGATTGGAGATGATTTTTTTAAAATGCTCATAGTAATAACAATTTGACAACAAAACTAAATTATCAAGAGAGGTAGTGAATTCCCCTCTGCTGGATATCTGCCCAAACATTGATAAAAATGCTTTAACTTTTCTGTACTGAGCAATATACTGAATTCAATGTCTGCTTCCAACTGATTCCATAAGTACATAAATATCCAAAGGATAACCATTATCATAGAAAAATAGCTATTTCTGAGCTAAAACTCAATAAAAATAAAATATATTGTAAATAATCCTAAAACATTTTTACAGATTTTTGAAATTTAATAAGTTACCTGTATGCATCGTCTCCTTTCAAATCTCATACCATCCTGTAGGGTGGGGGGAAGAGCCAGCAGTAAAACCTTTAACATAAAAAATAATTAGTTAGACAATATCAGGAGAATCCTTTAAAAAGCCACAAACCTGCCTTTAACAAGTCAAACCAGTACTATCTACTCTGAATTAAAGCAGCTGTCCATGGTCTTAGGAAGAAAACTTTCACACACATCTATGTATCACACTGAATTAAGAAAATATTCTTCTCTATATTATTAATTTGAAATTTCATGGCTTCCATTTGGGAAAATACAAGCTATGCCTCCAAGTTATTAAAACATCCTAGATCAGGGAGAGAAAGTTTGACAAAGCATTACTTATAGGTACAATAAAATCCAGTGACATTAGGTGACATTCAATAATATTTAAAAAGTAAATATTTTTAATTTGAAAATACTTTTAAATTAAAATGTTTATTAAAAATCTTCAAAAATCACATTCAAATTTAATAAACCCTTTAGCTAACTTAAATAATTTAAATTTATATTCATGCTTTACTTTTAAGCAATGGAATTCTTGTGTGAAATTACTGCCATAAATAGACCTCCCTATATAAAGTTTCCTTCTTCTAATGTATTATTATTCCATTCAGTTTTAATGGCTATTATGCATGTTTGCATGCCATAGTCTGACTCTGAAATTTTTTATGGAAATATATTCCTTTAGACTAAAACCTTGCTTGGATATTATCTTTCAAACTAATCTTTATCATACAAATAACATAGGTAGGAGACATACTAAAGGGATTGTGAAATATTTTTGTTCTTTTTTAAAAGAACCATCTAACTACTTTACATTGATAAAGTAAAAAGAAACTAGTGAAATTAGATCCCAATTTTATTTATATCAAATTTTGCACTACCATTACAACCTATTCTTAGTAATCATATAAACCAGAGGATACATTAGTGAATTTGAGTATATGAACAATCAGATCTTTTTACAAAACAGAATGTCCTTATTTTCTATATTCAAGGACTTTTCAGAAGATTTAATTTTATGAGTGATGTGTACAATGCTAAAAAATTAAACTCTTTACTTCTTTAGCAGCACAGTAAAACCTCATTCCCTACTGAGCAGATTCTGCATGCAATGGACAGTCTGAATTCTGAAATAAGAGTCAGTCTATTGTTTGGCAAATAAATAAAGACAATATTCATACATTTTACATAAACTGCATAGCATTATATAAATTTTATGTACATCATGCAGAATTTATGTACTTTACCATTTTAACATTAAGTTTTAATGGACAACCATTCCCCACCATTGTTCTAAAATCTAAAGAAAATCCCCACCATTGTTCTAAAATCTTAAAAAATGCCATTTAAAGAAAATTTTTATCTACCACTTAACATCAACACTGTTTCTTCTTCAGATAGTTTAGGGTACTGTAGTTCTTACTTACCAACTACCTGTTCAGCAATCAATTGAAATTGGAATTTAATATTACTAACAATCAGTCCACAATTTTTTCTGGCTGTGGTAGCACCAGAACTTGCAATTTGGCTACTTGGCAACCAGCTCACATGACAGTTGAAGCAACCCACAATCACATGATTGTCATTTGAGATCTCCCTATGGCTTCCCATAAGCAAAATCAATGGGGAAGCTGGTAGGGAAGGTAGCAAGTCACTCTGGTAAATCCTTCCAGCTTTGCTGTTCCTCAGCACGGCCTCCTGCAGAAACAGATGGAAGCAATAGCCATGGCTGTGCTGAAGCCGCAGGAAGGGAAAGGGGGCGCCAAGAGCCGAGGGCAGTGGGAGCCCAGAAAGAAGGGGGAGTTGAAGCTCCAGATCCCCCTGCGGTGATGGAGCAGGCGGCCGGCCCTGGGCAGCAGCACCAACCACGTGCCTGGTGCCCTGGTTCACCTTCCCCCAGCTTCGGGGGGGCTTGAATTCGGCACCCTGGCGCGCACCCTGGGCGGGCGTGGCGGGTGCAAGAGCTGGACAGGGAGAGCTCCCCCCACTGTGCTCGGTCCTCAGCCAGCGGGCTATTCTGGAAGGCTTGTGATGGGAGAGCCCCCCCAAGGCGTCTAGAGCGCAAAAGGAAAGCCAATGCTGCTGATGCCATCTTCCAGGGTGCCTCGAGGGTTTGGGGGTAAGGATGCCCGGCGAGAGCATCCAAAGCAGGGCCGAAACTGAAACACCCCCTCCCCTCCCGAAGGATCCTAAGCATCCCCTCCTCCACTTACAGGTGGGGAAGAAGTGGAGGGAAGGCGGCGAGAGGGGTCCTTCTGTTCTTCTCCCGCTCTTCTTTCAGCTTGCGCCTCGCCGGTTTCTTTTCCTGGAGCTCTAGCGCCTCCTTTGGCCCCCAAAGCTGAAACCGCTCCAAGGCGCAGAATGCTCTACTAGCATTCTGTTTATGGATGATATTTTACAGAGTGGCAAATAAACCTTTGGTTTGAAAGTGACTTAATGAAAATTAATCACAGTTAAGACTGAGACAGCATGCTACACTATACTTAAACTTCCAATGTTCTCCTTGTAGTCACATCAGAGGAAAGAAGATGGAGAACATAAGCCTAAGGCTCACCTGCATAATTCTGAACTATAATTTAGCAGGCTTACAGAATAAGGATCAGCAATTTTCATATACAAGATATCAGTCATGTTGTCTTAGAATTCTGAAACTTGCAGTTCCAGTACTTCAGGAATATGCCAGGTTCAGGAAAGCTGCAACAAAATCTGAAAATACATTTGAAAATCTGTAATAGTATGTAGGAAAGACCTGGGAGACTAGGCAAAGAGGTGCTGCCGAAGAATGGCCAAGAGACATCATAGCCTGTAGCTGCATAGTGGACAGAACAAGAGGCTCAGAAAGGATCCTCCCTAAGTTCTTGGGCTGTAAGTGGCAGTGGGAGAAGAAGGGGCGCTGTCTTACCTGAACGCCTTTTCTCAGCATGATGATGGAGAATCCACAAATGGGTTTAGACTGTCTTCCTGCCCAATTAGACTAAGTCTGACAAAGTTGCCACGCCTCCTGCTGGGCTTTAGTACCTCCCAGACACGACGAAGGTGAAGCTATTGACAATAGTCCGATGTGTTGGCTCCCCTACCCCTAACACAGGACCTGACGGACCTAAAGGGGTGGGTGTGGATTCTCCATCATCATGCTGAGAAAAGGCGTTCAGGTAAGACAACGCCCCTTCTCCAGCATGAGGATGGAGAATCCACAAATGGGACATACCAAAGCTGCCCTGTCTCTATGGGAGGGAATCAGTCTGGGCCTGTGTCCCACTTGATGACACTACTTGCTGGAGCAATCTCCGGCCGAATGAAGCTTCTGCGGAGGCAAATCTATCCAGCCTGTAATACCTCAAAAACAGGGAAGGCGAGCTGGAGCACTCTCCGGCCGAATGAAGCTTCTGCGGAGGCAAATCTATCCAGCCTGTAATACCTCAAAAACAGGGAAGGCGAGGACCAGGTCACCACCCTACAAATATCCCCAATGGATTCCTGTGTTGCCCATGCTGCTGATGTTGCAGCGCTGCGTGTGGAGTGAGCGGTGATATGTCTTGGAACTGACAGGGAATGCGACTGGAACACTCCTGCAATGCAGGCCTTGATCCGCGTGCCTATAGTTGAAGACGAGACCTTCTGCCCCATGGAAGAAGGTTGAAAGGAGATAAAGAGTGCTTCCGACTTGCGAAAGGCTGAAGTCCGCTTGAGATAATGGCGCAACGCCCTTCGCACGTTCAAAGTGTGCCATTGGCGTTCTAACACATGAGATGGTCAAGGACAAAAATTTGGAAGAATCACCTCCTGTGACCTGTGGAACAAAGAATTTACTTTAGGTATAAAGGACGGATCCAGTCGAAGGACCACAATGTCATTGTGAAAGAAGCATAGGTCCTTTCTGACAGAGAGAACGGCTAGTTCCGAGATGCGTCTAGCCGACGTGATGGCTATGAGGAAGGCTATCTTCATGGTTAAGAACTGCAGTGCACAGGTCTTGAAGGGCTCAAACAGTGGTGAGGTCAGGGCCTGCAAGACCCGCGGGAGTTCCCAAGAGGGATAACAATGAACCACGGGTAGCTTGGTGTTATTTGTGCCCTTGATAAAGGAATGCACCATGGGGTGCTGAGCCAATGGCGTTGAACTGTCACATGTAAACATCGTGGATAGAGCCGTCACCTGCCTGCGGAAGGTATTGGGTGCCAAGCCCTTGTTGAGCCCCTCCAATAAATACTCAAGGATTCTCGGAATGGTGATGGACAAGAGATCAAGGTGGTTCTTATTGCACCAGTGACAAAAGTTCTTCCACGAGGAGTCGTAGATCCTGTTAGTTGAGGGGCGTCTGGAGGCCTGAATCATGGAGATTACGCCCGTTGAATAGGACTCTCGGGTCAGGAGTCGCCGTTCAAGTGTCAGGTGGCTAACTGGAGCCACTGAGGGTCCGGGTGCTGCAGAGCTCCCTGGCTGAGTGCAACACGATCTGGAGGAATCCTCCACTGCGGAGAGATGGAAAGGCTCACGAGGTCGGCAAACCACGGACGTCTCGGCCAGTGTGGAGCAACCAATATCACCTCTGCCCGTTCCTGCAGTATCTTCTGGATAACAGCCGGGAGCAAGGGGAGAGGGGGAAAGGCATAGAGAAGGCCCTTGGGCCATGGACTGGGGAGGGCGTCCGCCTGCTCCGCTCCTGGAGATGGGAACCGGGGGAAAAACCTCGGGAGCTGGGAATTCGCCGGGGAGGCGAACAGGTCCAACATCGGAAGTCCGAACCTCTCTGAGATCTCTCTGAATAGATCAGGATGCAGGCGCCACTCGGAGTAATCCACTGTCGACCTGCTCAAGGAGTTCGCCTGCTGGTTTGCCTCTCCCGAGATGTGCTCTGCTTTGAGAGAGGAAAGGTTGGTCTCTGCCCAAGTATTCAACGACTGGGCCTCGGTCATAAGGGACCTGGACCGAGTACCCCCTGCCAGTTCACAAGGGCTTTTGCTGCCACATTGTCCATGAGCACTAGGACATGTTGTCCCTCCACACTGTCTCTGAAGTGGCACAGTGCCAGATGTATGG